TTATTATTATTATTATTATTATTATTATTATTATTATTATTATTATTATTATTATTATTATTATATTTTTTCGACAGACTAATAAAAAATGGTGAAGTCAACTACAATATAGCTGTCAACTGTAGTCATAGTAAATCTGAGATAAATGAAATCATACTTATTTCTTAAGAGCTTACTAAATAACAATTTGACAAAAATTTTGTAACAACATTTTTTGTAGATATTAATAATACAGGCAAACCTCTATACGGCGGAAACTCGCCTGGTAGAAGTAGAAGGGATTATATATCAGTGAGAGTTGTGACTGTGTGAGTGCCATGAAATTCAGGGCCAAAAAGTTTCGAATTGTAATTTTTATACGGATGTTTTTTTATTTAAATTATTTAATTTATATTTGATTTATAATTTTTGTTCATTTTGTGATATATTTTATATATTATAAAAAATGATAAAATAAATAGAAAAACAAATCAAAGTAATTTTAAAAAAAAATAATTATATTTAAAATTCGTCGCAAAAATTAAATTATTTTTTATAAATAATAAAATTCTCCTGAGGAATTCAATTATTTTCAATACAATTTTAATAAACTTTAAAAATCAAATTTTAAAATTATTAACAGACACGATTATTTTAAAAAGTTGAAAAATTCTTTGTATAATTCAATTATACTTTCAAAATTTTTAATTATAACTATTAAAGAAACTCCATTATTTTAAAAAAGTTTAAAGATATTCTTTAAAAGAATTTACTTAGGATTTTTATAAATTTTAATTAAATTTTTCGCGAGAATTCGATTATTTTCATAAATAATAAAATTCTGCGAAGGAATTCAATTATTCTCAAATTTTTTGACAAAATTCTTTGCAAGAATTCAATGATTTTTAACACATATTTTTAAATAAGGTTATTAATAAATTATCATAACTTCTATTTCATATTTAAAGATCATATATATGATTTAAAATGGTTGATACATCCCTGAACGTTCACTCACTAATAGCATTTTAACGAACCTCTCTACGGTGGAATCGTCTAATTGCTTTCCGCCGTAGAGAGGTTTTCCTGTATCTACAATTTTTATTCAAAACTTTTTTCCTATCTTTAACAATACAAAATTTATAATTAGGTATAATTTACATTATAGAACAGAAACACTTCGGAGATAATTTAAAGGAAATTTTCTAATGAATAATTTGATTGGTAAAAGTTTTGATTATATTTATTGATTTTGGATAACTGCAAAGAGGGCGGACAATCATGGCCCTCACTCACTTTGAACCATTTTCTAGAGAATCGATAAATATTTGGTACGTATTTTTTTATTTTGGCAGGCATGCTATTTTCGAGGTTGAAAATGGGGGTAAAAATAAAAAAACCTTAAGTATGTGCGCAAAGATCAGTTTGATGCAGTTTTTTTAAATTCAGCGAATTCGCTTTAAATTCGTTATTCCAAGGTTTTTGGAGTCGCTGATTACGAATACGAAGTCCGATTTGCAAATTTCAAAACAGCGGATGACTTTATGTTTAATATTTATTTGATTCGCTTAAAAATCGTTACTCGGGGATTTTTGAAGTCGCTGATTACAAATACTGGCATCGGTATTTCTAGCAGGGCTAAAAGTATTGTTAAATTTTAAATAAACAAAGAATATTTTTTTAATAAAACGACGTTTTCTATATAGTTATAGAGTGTCTTTGTTGAACTAAGAAAGATCTAGATCAAGAAAATCAACAGGGATTTCACTGATTTCTAAATATTCAGTTAAATTCTTCTGCACTTGACTTTTGACTGAAAATAGTGTTAAAAAAACAAAAAAAAATTTTGAACTATGTTCTTAAATAGTTCAAAATTTAGGTGCGGGTCCCCTTAATAATTTTCCAAAAGTTTTTCCAGAATTCAATTATTTAAGTGCAAATATTCAATTTTTTATAATAATAAATGATAACTGTAACTATCTACGTTTTTTCAAAGTTATTATAAGATATTATATTTTCAAAAAATTATAATAATGAAATTTAAAAAATTTATTTTTTAAAAATATTTTTATATAATTTTTTGAAGACAATTTTCATTTTTAAATTTACAGACTTTCATTACCCATAATGAATCGAGTATTCAAAAATTTTATTTTAGTGCAATCAAACATAGAATACAGTCAATAGGGTTTAAGGCATAATGATCAGATTGAAAAATATTGTAATATAGATGGCTGATTGGAAATTTAATATTGTAGCTTTAACGTTTAAGTAACGTTAAAAAGAAATGCCTTTTTCAAGAATTGCAAGTATAGTTCGTCTGAAATCCAAAAAGGTAATTGATTTACATTTATTATAAGATTATCTAGTTATCCCAATTATTTCGATTGGATTTCTTTTTTTATTCAAAACTTTTTTTCCTATGACTGAAAATCGACATGATTTTTTTTAAAGAAAATCATACTCTTGACTTTGACAAGTCGCCATTTTGTCAAATATATATGAATTATTTTTTAAGTTTTTCGATTGATAACTAGGTAATCTTATAATAAATGTAAATCAATTTCATTTTTGTATTTCAGACGAACTATACCCAGTGAGAAATTTCTCACCGGTCCAATATCGGTCCAATAAAGGCTCCCAATATTGGACCAATATGGGCTGATGCTTGGGATGTAACGGCATCGCCAATCATCGGTTGTCAATATTGGTCCAATATTGGCCGAATATTGGCAACCAAGAGAAAAAATTTTTTTAAATAAATTTTTTTTAATTAAATAATAATAATAAAAAATTAATGTTTATAATTTTTGTTTAATATATTTATTTGTTTAATTATTTATTTTTAATAATTCATGTAAATAATAAATAATTTATTATTTATAAATTATAATTATTTAAAAATGCAGCAGCTATTAGGAAATAGCATTCTGCAAAAAAATTCTATCATTGAAAAATCAATTATAGGCGAGAGATATCTGCGTCTTTAAATAGATTCGCAGATGATAGACAAGAGATATCCGCGTCATTAAACAGATTCGCAGTTATACTCTGGTCTTGCGACGAATCTCTCGATACTTAGATACACTGGAGTCGCCGTGTCAGTTGCGAGAACGGTTACAGCGTCCCTCTTGCGGCAGAGATAAGAATTGTCACGTAAACTGCTAAACGCTTTACCGACCGCCTTATTATACCCGCAGTTTACGTGACAATTCTTATCTCCGCCGAAAGAGGGACGCTGTAACCGTTCTCGCAACTGACACGGCGACTCCAGTGTATCTAAGTATCGAGAGATTCGTCGCGAGACCAGAGTATATCTGCGAATCCGTTTAATGACGCGGATATCTCTTGTCTATCATCTGCGAATCTATGTTAAGACGCGGATTTCTCTCGCCTATCATTGATTTTTCAATGATAGAATTTTTTTGCAGAATGCTATTTTCTAATAGCTGCTGCATTTTTAAATAATTATAATTTATAAATAATAAATTATTTATTATTTACATGAATTATTAAAAATAAATAATTAAACAAATAAATATATTAAACAAAAATTATAAACATTAATTTTTTATTATTATTATTTAATTAAAAAAAAATTATTTAAAAAATTTTTTTTCTCTTGGTTGCCAATATTCGGCCAATATTGGACCAATATTGACAACCGATGATTGGCGATGCCGTTACATCCCAAGCATCAGCCCATATTGGTCCAATATTGGGAGTCAATCGGCGCCCAGCACGGCAACCAATATTGGACCGATATTGGACCGATTAAAGTCTATTGGCAATTTCTCACTGGGTACTTGCGGAAGGCTAGTCACCGGAATTCATGTTTTTTTCTGAGAGCGTCACTTAATGGCTCGTTTCTCAGAAAGTTTTTGATAAAAAAATGTTTTCTTTTTTTAAATTAAAGCCTTATATATGTACTTTTAGGTAATAAATTGTATTTTTTAAAAAGTTTAATGGTTTATAAGGAAAAAATCTTGAAAAAAGTAAAAAAAACGATATCTTAAGAATTGTTTTTTCTTAATTTTGTACTTCATTTTCGGTTTCGGCTGGCCATTTTACATGAGAAATGAGAGCCAAATGTCGTGGATCAAAATCACTGTAAAATTAGTATGTACAACGATTTAAATCTGTGTTAAAACTTTGAAAATAACCACTATAGTAAAGTTTTTAAACTTCAAATATGAGAATTTGATTTTTTTTCTCTTTTTGAGCCTTTTGACTGCACTGGCACAGAAGTAGCCGCGAGTTCTTCATCAATACACCTCCTCAATTTTCTTTCACAGAAAATTCTAAATCAAATTCTTTAAACTCTCGCTTTCTATCCCATTTTAAGTTTATGATATTTGTTGTGCGCCGCGCCGCGCCGGCATATTTGCTGAATTGAAAAAATAACAAAAAGCTTAAAAATCCAATCACTATTTGTCGTTTATCGACAGCACGTCGACAGCATGCTATGTGGGAATCATAAGCCATGACTAATGTGCCAGAGATAGTGGGGGACTTCTAATGAAAGTCAAGGTTCTTGATGGACCTCCAAAATATTACTTAATTAGAGTCGTTTCTTCTCGAGTCAAAATTATGGAGAGAAATACTTCCTTTCACGTCAAGTGGATTTTAAATCATTTGAAACCGCAGTCTCTAATTTTATTTTTCAGTTCTTATTTTTTTCTTTAATAGACCAATAACAAAAATTAAATAATAATTAATACATTTTTATAAAGTAATAGATTCAATAAAAAATTTACCTATTAAAATTAAAGTTTAATAATGAATTTAATAAAAGTCATGATTAAATAACAAATTGAATAGAAATAAAGATTTAATGATAAATATTTGTTTGTATTTAATAAAGACACATTACTTATTATATTTATGTATATGGAAAATATAAATGGCGGGAAGGTCATGCATATGAAATCAGTAAATGTAAAATAAAAATATACGCATCTAAATAATAATTTTTTTATTATCGGCATGGTAATCAAAACAAAAGTTTAAGAATTATCGAATGAGTTTAAAAAAATTTATTTACAAATTTTTGTTTGAAAATTATTTTTATAGTTCTTAAAAAACATAATCTTTTTCTGAGTTTCATGTATAATAAAATCGAGTTCAGAATATTGAATGGTATTTTACCGAAGTTTGAATAAATTATCGACGAATTTCGAAATCGCCTTGAAGATTTTTGTCATAGAATCCATAATAGTTATGGTGGGAGAAGTTCTTGATGAACCCAGTCTTTTTTTCTATAAGACAATTAGGGATTTGAGTTACATTATCAGTCCAAGATTGCCTCTTTCTCTCGTTGGATGTTTTAAATGCGTAGTCCTATTTAAAAACACAAAAAGAACGAAAATATATATCTATTCAAAATTCAGGGTTTTTTCCATTTTATTCATTTGGAATTTAAATGGAATTCTATCAACAATCTTGTTTCATTATCGTTATAATTTATTTTTTTACTATTCGTAAGTTAATATTTAAATTTTTATTGATAATTTAATAGGTACTTAATTTATTTATGAATTTTTAATAAATTAAAATTATTAATTCAATATTTTTATTTTCATTTTCAGTGATTAAACGAAATGTTTTCTTACATAGGTTTTTTTATTATTATATTATTATTATTTGTATGTTCCTAGAGAAAAACTAATGAAATTTTTTTCAGAATCGTCAGCTTTGGACTGTTATACTGCGAAAGGTGAATATGGAAGTTGCATTGAAATTCGGAGTTGTCCAGCAATGGTGGAAATTCTTAAAATGTATCCTCTGCAAAGTGAAACTGTGAAATATTTAAAAGAATCGAGATGTCGAGTTGCAGGATCATCAACTTCAGAAGTTATTATTTGTTGCCCTTCGCATTCATCATTATCATTCACAACATCAAATCCAAGTTGGAATGCCAGTGATCATAATTTACTTCCTACGAATTGCGGACAAGAAACTATGGGCAGAATTGTTGGCGGAGAAGTCACGGATATCGACGAATTTCCCTGGATGGCTCTGTTGGAATATCAAACACGTTAGTATTTTATTCATTTAAAAAAAGAAAATAAATATGGGTAATTCTACGTGAAATTTTTCTATGACATTTTAAAATCGGTTAAACATATTTTTTTCTCGTCCTTTATATTTTTATTTTTCTTCAACTTTTAAGTAATCTAAAAAAATTTGTTTTTAAATTTGGACATGATTAATTTAAATTTTTTATTTATTTATTTATACCTGATAATATACAGAAAATTTTCCTGAAAGTCCCGAGATGGACCTATGTTACGCATCACAGTGTGATTTTTTTTTACAATTGACTGTTCGAAACTGTCTACATCTAATAAGTTTTAACCGATTTGAATGTTAAAATGAAAAATTGAAGAATATATAGACAGAATCAACTTGCAACTTGCAAGCGAATTTTAAAAAATTGTTTAAACTCCTTAAACTCAATCGGCCAATCTCGGGACTTTTAAGAAAGTTTTCTGTATATTATCAGGTATAAATAAATAATGAAAAAATTAAAATTAATCATGTCCAAATTTAAAAAAAATTAATTTCTTTATAAAGAAATAATTTTTTAAAATTAAAAATTAATTTTTTCTTTTAAATTAAGTAGGGGAGATAATAAAATAATGTAAATAACCTGTGAACGCACTATTTTGTGATGCATATGTTGCATGAGGTTTTAGGGACATGTCATTTTTGCGAATACTATAATTTATTTCATATTAATGACCTATTTTATATTATATTCTTTGCATAGAACCACTTTATCAATAAATAAATAAAGAATTTATTTTAAAACACAAATTAGCAATCGAGCTGCTGAAAACAAACAAGTCTGAAAACTATAATTCATTTTATTATTATATTATATTAATTACATATTTTACATTATATATTATATTCTTTGCATATAACTACCTACAAATAAATAAACAAAGAATTGATTTGATTTTTCTACAAAAAAACGAAAATTTGTGTCTCTCTCTTTAATAAATTATCCGTGTCCGGTTTAGCCCCACCAATTTTGGGATTTTCGTTTTTGAGGTAGTCACCTTCGAAGCAATATATCACCAAAGCTACTGTAGTTTTTTAAAAACGAACAAGTGCGATTTGTCTTTTCAAAGTTATAAGCTACTGAAAATAGGTCTACTTTTAAAAATCCTAAATTTCGAAAATTTGGACAGTTATAAAAAAATAAAAAAATACTTATTTAATATTTTTCTATAAAGAACGAAAAAAAATATGGTTAACCGATTTTAAAATTTCGTAGAAAAATTTCACGTAGAAATTGACCATATACACTACCGTCGGAAATTATCGGTACGGCTCCACACGCACGGCCCAGAAACATAACAAAATTTAAATCACGATTTTCTGTATAAACAAATGTCAGAAAATTAACAAATATACCATTAGAAAGCTTATAATATTCTACTTTGAATAATACACAATTAAAATTTTTTAATACATTACACAAGATTATGGTAATCGACAAAAAAAAGAGAAATTAAAAAATGAAATTTTTTTTGACAATTTTTAAACTTCTGCATATTTTTTAAAAATTATAGACAAAATTTAAAACGTATATGATGTCATATCCTTCAAGTCTCAACTTTAATTTAAGATCGAAAAAATTAAAAAATCTTATTCGGTTCGCGAGATATCATTATAAATGTCAGAGCATGTTTTTGGTATTGAAATAGTCAATTTTGTACGGTTTTTGACTAAAAATGCTGTGCCGTTTATAATGATATCTCGCGAACCGAATAAGATTTTTTTTACTTTTTTTATCTTAAATTAAAGATGAGACTTGAATGATGACATCTATTTAAGTTTCAAATTTTGTCAATGTAATTTTTAATTACATACAAAATAATTTTTATTACAAGAGAGGAAATTTATTTAAAGCTTCTTATAAACAATAGATATCCACTGAAATTATCTGATAAATAATTGTAATTTAATATTAGAAGAAAGATTGATGTTACATTTATAGTTCTGTCAATAGCAATTGTTTTGAAAACAATTTTGAATAAGACTTTTTTATTGCATGAAAAATCTACTAAGAATTATTTTGCACCAAAAATTGAATAAGAATGTTATTGCATTTGTTTTTATATATTAAGCATTATATGAACGGGAGGCGTCGATATTTTTAAAATTTGACCTTAATTTTTTTAAGTTATTAAATTTGCTATTTTCACCGAATTCGGTCAGTTTAATTTTAAAATAAACTATATTACAAAGGAAAGCTGACGTTTTTTGCATAAACAACTCAAATATTTATTGGAAATTTATTGTTAGACTAAAACATACTTTTAACAAAAACAACAATTTTTTTAATGTATATTATATAATTATAATTGTTATACTGAACATGGTGGTAATGTAAAAACTGTTTTTAAAAATATAAAAATTTCAATCTATTACAAATTTAATGTACTTTTAGAAAGAAAGAAAAATATTGTAAGAAAGTTAATTTTGGGGAAGTTGAGTCATTAATTTATCACGATACCAAAAATATTAGATTCTTAGAATCTTGTCGAATTTTTTTGAAACGTGATAGTCAGTGGTTTATGAGGTCGCTGCGCTGATAAAGAAAATCTGACTTTTAGATTCCTAATCACCGAGCCCAAAAAACCCAGAATAACAAGTTTCAAGCAAATCCTATCAACTTAAAAAATATCACTATGTTTGGTCGGCCATATTGGATCCGCCATTTTGAAATTTGACCTCACATTCGTATTCAGTGACCTTTTAAACCTTTAGAATAATCATTATTCTCATATTTTTGATGGATTTGAAATAGTTGAAGAGTATTAGTGACTCAACTTACATCGGACATGATAAAATTGTTAAGAAATTTTTGTTTTCGAAATTTGCATTCTCTTTTTGCTATTTTTTAAAAATTAAAGAATTGACTTAGCATGCATGCATGCTTTATGAATAGAGCATCAAAAGATCTTGAAACATGTTTGCCAATATTTTTGTCATTACACAGAAAAAATTTAACAATAAATTATAGACTGACCGGTGTCAAACGTAATTGATAAAACTGGGAAAATTTTTGTTAAGTTACGTTATTACTAGATAGGATAGGAGAGTAATAAGTATAAAATATTAATGAAATTCTTGGAATTTTAGCAAACGGAATAAAAACACTCTGCAGTGGCGTTGTAATCAATAAACGCTACGTATTATCAGCAGCTCACTGCATCAAAGGCAAGGGCCTTCCTAAAAATTATAGAGCCGTGAATGTTCGCCTCGGCGAATACGACACAACTTCTAATCCAGATTGTATTATTCAATCGGGCTATCAAGTTTGCGCCGACCCGATTGTGATAATTCCAATCCAGGAAATAATAACCCACGAGGATTATGTTCCGAATTCAAAAGGCCAACCAAATGACATTGCCTTATTGAGACTCTCAAAAGACATTGTATTCACAAATTACATTCAACCAATTTGTTTACCACAGAATTCAAATGTCGAAAGTCTGTTGTATACTGCCGGATGGGGTAGAACTGAATATGGAACAAATTCTGACAAGAAATTAAAATTATCAGTTCCTGCAGTTAGCATTGAAAGGTGTATTCCTTGGTATAGATCGGCAGGGGCTAATCTAGGACATGGACAAATTTGCGCTGGTGGCGATAAGGGAAGAGATTCATGCCGGGGAGATTCTGGTGGTCCACTTATGGCGAAATCGCGGGGAACTGTTGACAATAAACCAAAATGGGTTAGCGTTGGAATTGTTTCATTCGGACCATCGCCTTGTGGACGTGAAGGGTGGCCCGGCGTTTATACCAAAGTACACGATTTTATGCCATGGATTCTTCGTAATATGAGACCTGCTAAAAAATAGTCAATTAATTACTTATTTTACATTATATTCATCCTTTATTAGCTCGATTAATAAAAACTATTATATAATGCAGCTGAATAATTTAAATAAAATTTTATATTTGAACAAATAATTCTTGAGTTTTTAAAAGATTTTATCTATTTAGAACAACATTCAGGGTGTCTACAACACCTGGAAAACCGGGAAATGTCAGGGAATTTTTTTCATCATGACTTGAAATACTTTTGAACAATATTTTTATTGCCCAAAATTATTTTTATAAATTTTTAGTAAAAAATTAATAGTACCTAATAATGAATATTGCCTTTCTAATTTGCAATTCTCTTTTATTTTGAGAAATAATATGAACCACAGACATACATATACACGGAAAAAAATTTTTACTGTGGGGAACAGCTAATTTCAAAAATAAATAACATAAAGAATCTATTCAACTAATTCAGTGAATGATTTCCAATGCAGTAGTCAAACGGTCAAACTGTTTCTCTGATATAGAGAAAATGAATTTCACTGGTCAGCCATATTGGAAATATTTGACAGTTATTTCAATATTTAATTACGCACAGTTAATAAAATGATCAGCCAACATGATACATATATAAAACTAATACTTCCTTTAAAAAATCACGTTTGTTAATAATAAATAATAATAACCTTTGTTCAATTTTACATAATATTCATCTACTCCAGGATTTAAATGAATGAAAGTTTCATCAGTTTCTAATAGACACACATCTTCATTTTCTTTATAAGTAATAGTACTACCATTCGTGTAGTATTCATTAATTTTTTCAATCTATTTTCTTTAGTATTTAATATTAATTTAATTTAACATTATAATTTATAATAATAATGAATTATTAATGCAATATTGAAATTTTTATAAATTTTAAATTTAAATTATTAATAATCATTATAGTAAGAAATTATTCTATTAATGATTAATAATAATTTAAATATAACTGTATTTCAATTATAATGCAAATACTTCTCATAATAAGTACTGACTGGTATAGTAAATTACTAATATTATGAATCAAAATTTATTATTAATTAACTATATTAAATAATTACAAGTAAATATACATATATTAAATTAATATATTATAAATATACATTAAATAAATATATTAAATAATGTTAAAAGAATGGTCCGAATGTTTTGATTTATTTACCTACTTTTGCTGTATAATTAATTCAATAATTATACCAATTTGAAAAATGAGAACTTTTGTTAAGTTAAAAGAACAATTTTTATAATAGAATAATGTATTCTGAAATGTAAAAAATAAATTTGAAAGATTTGTATATATAAATTTTCATAAGACTTTACCAAAATTAGAAAGATGTACCAAAATTTTTATAGGTTATGTGTTCACACATTTCAGAAATAGTCAAGAATTTCAGAAATGATCAGGAATTTCAGAAATGGTCACAGCTTCGAAAATGGTGGAAGTAAAGTGGGAGGAGCTTGTAAAGTATTTGGTTAGGAATGGTGAGAAACGTTCGAAAACGTCAGAAGTGGTGAGACTGTTCAGGAATGTTCAGAAATTCTGACCATTCATGACGATTCCTGATTTTATTTTTAGTAGGGTTAATGAATACTACACGAATGGTAGTACTATTACTTATAAAGAAAATGAAGATGTGTGTCTATTAGAAACTGATGAAACTTTCATTCATTTAAATCCTGGAGTAGATGAATATTATGTAAAATTGAACAAAGGTTATTATTATTTATTATTAACAAACGTGATTTTTTAAAGGAAGTATTAGTTTTATATATGTATCATGTTGGCTGATCATTTTATAAACTGTGCGTAATTAAATATTGAAATAAGTTGAGAATAATTTTTACAGATTGTGGCACACAAAATGATTTAGGAGGCGCAAAGCGGAAAACTTTGACAATAAAGCAGCTGTTATTTTCCGAAATTAATTTTATTTTTCTCTCGCCTGACTCCATCTAAAAAAATTTTTTATTTTTATTATATTATATATAATTTAAAATATGCATTTCTTTAACACATGCACATGCATTTTCATAACCTTCAAATGTACATGTACATAAACGTATTATAACAAAATTAAATTTACTTTAGAGAAAATCTTAAAAATTTTGTTCATTAACAAAAAAACAATTTTAATTGTATTTAATTACAAAAGATAAATTATAATTTACAATTAATTTAAGAAACTTACCGCAGAAATGCAAGAAATCAGTTTCGCTAAAAATCCTGAAAATGTTTTGAAACGTTTGAAACTAACATAGTATCAAGTGAACATAGTAACAAGCGAACACAGTAACAGTCTAAGGGTACAGTCACACGATCAATGCATCTGCATGATGCATGCATGCACAAACATTTGACTGTTCACACCTCAATTTTTCGCTCTCGAAAAATCATTTTTCTGGCGGGATATTTAAAATTGATTAAAATTTAAAAATAACGTATTACTAATTATTACAATAAAAAATAAAAAAAATTGAACGTTTATTATAAGGAATTAATTGTAAATAAATTTCTCTTAATTAGTGGCATATTTTAATATTGTGAATTTTTATAATTTAAAATATGCCACTAATTAAGAGAAATTTATTTACAATTAATTCCTTATAATAAACGTTCAATTTTTTTTATTTTTTATTGTAATAATTAGTAATACGTTATTTTTAAATTTTAATCAATTTTAAATATCCCGCCAGAAAAATGATTTTTCGAGAGCGAAAAATTGAGGTGTGAACAGTCAAATGTTTGTGCATGCATGCATCATGCAGATGCATTGATCGTGTGACTGTACCCTAACAGAGGAACCGGTAAGTTCTCAAATGCGCCATGTTACGCGCCGAGTTACCGTTTAATACGCAACTCTAACAAAAGTGATTGATTGGCCGGATTCAACTTGGTTAAATCCTTTAAAAAGGAAGCGGGATAATTTAAATAAAACAATATTAAATTCCGTATAACGGAAGGGAAACCCGTTCGAAAGAAGATAATTTATTTGTCTCCTTTCGAAGGTAAAACCCTTTAAGTTTATTGAAGTACTTTGTTCAATCAAGCTGGCTAAGGAACTTGACGACAAGAACCTTTCTAGTCAAGCGCAAGATTAGAACTCTGCAAGTTTGTTGTCAGATGAGACGGAGATGCTCTCCGTCTTGTGTACATTTTAGTCCGAGTGCGCATGCTCGCTATGACGCGCACTCTTGTTGGATATGTATTCAACATCGAGACACTAACACTTTTAAGGCACGACACTGTGAATTCTATACACACATAAAGGAGTATCTCTTATACATACTATTCACTCATCATACTTTTCTATATTTCTAATAAATTGTTCGATTATGATTAATGAATCTAAATTACAATTACACCACATTAAAATGTGTGAAGTGTCTTACATTACAATTTATATTATACATAAACAATATAACTTGAAGATAATATAATATATACATAATTTCTAATATGTAAACATACTCATGTGCATATATACATCTGCACATCATACATGCATATATATATATATATATACCCAATGGGAAATTTACAACTGGCGTAGTACTGCGCCAGCACTGGCAGCACTGGCGGCAAGGCTGAGAGCCAGCACTGGCATGGCACTGGGATGATAACGCCGTCTGGCGCTGCCGAAGTACTGTCTGTCAGTGCTGCCAGACAGCGCTGGCGCAGCACTGGACCAGTGCTGGCTGAGAATATTGCCGCAATAAATGCCGTATTGCTATTAATTAGTCGTAAATTCATAATTATAAATAATTTAACAACAAAATGGTAAATAATATTAATAAATAGTTATTATTCATAAAATATTTCTCTTCTTAAAGAAATTGTATTGAAGATGGAGACTAACAATGGATATAGTAAATGAAGTAGAAAAAAATTGTTTATAACATTTAAAAATTAAATAATAAACAATTACAGTAAGTGTGCATTAGATTTTCATACGTTAGAACCTAACGATTGGAATCTAGAAATATCGCAAACCTATGAAAATAAACAAAATTGCTGACGAGGGGAATCGAACCTACGACCTACGGACTAACAGACTAACGCTCTAACCACTAAGCTAACGACACATGTGTACTGTAAAGTATTAACATCTCAGTATCATTCAGACATACAATTATTGAGTCAAAGATGAGAAAAAAATAGGGATACGTTAGAAATAATAAATTGAAATAAAATAAATTAAACTAAATTTTTTATAATTAAATTAAGTAATTTTACTTTACTTATTGCATTTAACATTTTACGTAATTCTTAAATTACGTGGTAATTTTTTAATAATTTGTTATTCATAGTAAGAAGTATAATAGTATTTTAATAGGAACCAAATTATTATTGAGATTAAAGTTTAAATTTTGTTTATAATTTTAATTTGTTTAAATAATTTATTATTTACAAAATTAGACAATTGTGTTAAATTGTTATTATTAAATTTAATAAGAATAAAAAATGAACAACTGAAAAGTAAAATATTAATTTTTTTCAATAAATTTATATTTATAAACATTTATAAACTTTTTTAATAATTTTTTTCAAGTTTATGTCAAAAAAGCAATGTTGGCAAAGAGCGTTGTGAACAATTTTTCTATACTCAGCCAGCACTTGCCGCCGTGGCTTGTCCAAGCTTTGGCGAAACAAAAATTCTGTACTGCGCCAGCACTAATTGTCGAGGCTCGGCTAGACTACGCCGAACAATCGTCTGAGTACTAAGCCAGTGGTGAACATCGGCACTACACTGGCATTTCCCATTGGGTATATATATATATAAATTATTATAGAAATTATAAATGAAATCAATTCATATTTATTTATCAGAAAAAATGCCAAATGTGGAATTTCCAAAACGTGCCTTTTTCATGAGAAAAAGGATATAACGAATTTTGCAGACAGATGTAATTTTATTGCTCTACCTAAAAAGGGTCATCTTAAGAAATTGGTTCGCATATTTTTATGACACCTTCTTTACCTACGGTTTACAACTCTATTGGATTTCTAGAAAACGTTGTTTTTTTAGTTGACAAGAAATTCTATTTCCTTATTACTGAAAATGTGTTTTTGAGTCTTAGACTAAGTTTTATGATTTTAT